TAAAAGGAACAGGATCTTATGTTGCATTACAACTCTGCTGTCCCTCACCACAGGGAGACATCAATGTTTGCAGCTTATATCTTGCTTTTTTCCATTATCTTTTGAAAGTCCTTCCTGATATTTCTCCCTCTCAGATTTATGAATTTTACTTGACTTAAAGTATTTCCAAGCTGCCTTTCAGGGCAATGATTCTCCCAAAGCAACTCCTCTTGTAGAGTTAAGATGCAATTGTACATCATAACAACAGTTTTCACAAGAGCAGTTATCTTAAATAAAGTATCAATGAAAGCTTACGCTGTAGTATATTTACATTGCTTCAAGATGCTTTGTTGTTCTACAACAATATTTTACAAGAATAATTCAAAATAGTTCAGAATTATAAAAATATACCAAAGGTTTGATAGCAGCAGTATTGACCTGCATATAGTAATATAAAACCAATAAAGTCAGGGCCATCAGAAGACTATTCAAACCTCTAAAACCAAGAGGATCACATAACATTTATGGAAACAGTACATTAAAAATAGGCATTCACTATCTAGCTGATGACAGAAAGGAGAGGATCCTATAGTTATGGGGCCACTGCTGGTAAGGCTCCATCTCTTATGCCCATGAGTCTAATCTATCTCAATAGTGGGGGCATGATAAGAACTCTCTTTTTTCTGTGTCAGGAGTGACTTGAGAAACTGCAGGTCGTTTCTGGTGCAAGAGAATTGTCCATTTGCAAGGGCGTTGTCCACGGGACGCCCAGATATTTTACCATCCTATGAGAGGCTTCTCTCATGTCTCCGCATGGGGAGCTGGAGCTGACAGATGGGAGTCCACCTCGCTCCTTGGATTTGAACCACCGACCTTTCAGTCAGCAGTCCTGCTGGCACAAGGGTTTAACCCATTACACTACTGGGGGCTCCTATAAGAACTCTGAAAGCAAGTGGAAGGTTAGTATGGGGGAGTTAGAAAACAGGCAGAACTAATATAAGTCTTTGATGAGCTTCACAAACGGTATAACCCCCATATCCATGGGGGGCATGCTCCAAGACACCCATGGATATCAAACAAATCCCACATCATCATCATCATCATCATCATCATCATCATCATCAGATAATAATAATAATAATAATAATAATAATAATAATAATAATAATATTATATAATAATAATATAACATATTATTATTATTATTATATTTAAGTTAAAGCATGCCATAGAATCATACTGGAATAGCTAGAAAAACCCACAAACACATCAGGGAATATATTTTTGGAGCTTGAGTATGGATCTGGGTATAAGGTGAATGCCCTGTATTTTGCAAAGCTATTCTAGCAGCATAGAATCATAGAATCAAAGAGTTGGAAGAGACCTCATGGGCCATCCAGTCCAACCCCCTGCCAAGAAGCAGGAACATTGCATTCAAATCACCCCTGACAGATGGCCATCCAGCCTCTGCTTAAAAGCTTCCAAAGAAGGAGCCTCCACCACACTCCGGGGCAGAGTGTTCCACCGCTGAACGGCCCTCACAGTCAGGAAGTTCTTCCTAATGTTCAGATGGATATGAGTTCAGATATGAGTTATAATGCTATTGGGGCGGGGGGAGGTACAATAGTAATAGTGTTGAAGTAAGGTTTATCTCCCATTCCAATCACTTTCTGGGAAAGGGACCATTTTGTCCTTCACTTCAGTAAACAAAATACCTTATGTTGGCCATGTGGGAGTAATTATCCTCATGCGTTTCTTATAGGTTTCTTACCTATTTAACCACTGTGTGATACAGGATACTGGAATATATGAAACTTTGGTTCAAACTTCTGGCTTTCATTCTGTTGTTATGTAACTAACATGTGTGTACATGAAAGCAGCTGGCACTTTCCACACCGCCTTTAAAAATGTTCCAAAACTCATTTTACTTGTGGATAATTCAAAAACAGAAACACGCTGATAAAATTATGAGATGTCTAGATATTCGGATAGAAGTGGGGTCAAGTTTTTCTCAGGCATAGATTCCGGCAAAGTTAGCAACCCACTTCTACCATTGAAGCCAACACTGTCAAGACTTCCAAACACCACACAGTCAGTTCCTAGTAAAACCAGAATATGAATTTTGTGGTTTCTGGAACCTAGCCTTGACCTCAAGACATTAAATATCAACATCTCAATTCATGGCATTTCCAGGAACAAAGAGCTGAGATTGTTATGAAACTATAGTGCAATGCTTAATTCAATATAAAGATATATAAAACTATTACTAAGTTGGCCTCACTTCAATATTTCCAGAATGAAGAAAAGAGTTTGTACATTTAAAAATCATTGTAAAAGGTGAGGTGGGCAAAATGTGGCGTATGGGCAAAACACAGCCACCAAAGCCTTCTATGTACCACTTCTGGAATTGTTTGGAGACCTCTGAACTAAGATCACTTACAGTTCTATTTTGTCTGATGTTGATGTTACTCATGGCATAGGAAGAAGGAAGGATAGGGATTACTCTGTTTTCTCCCCAGTGTGCCTGTAGTGTGCTTTGAAGAAATAAATATGGTGATATATTTTTGGGGGGTGGGGAGCAGTTTTCTCAGTGGAAGTTCCTGAAGCTGAATGAGCTCTGAACATGTCAATATGTTTTTTTTTTCATTTGGGGATTTTTTTTGTCAGGAGTGACTTGAGAAACTGCAAGTCACTTCTAGTGTGAGAGAATTGGTCATCTGCAAGGATGTTGACCAGGGGATGCCTGGATATTTTGATAAATTTACCATCCTTGTGAGAGGCATCTCTCATGTCCCTGCATGGTGAGCTGGAGCTGACAGAGGGAGCTCGTCCACGCTCTCCCTGGATTCGAACCTCCGACCTGTTTGTCTTCAATCCTGCCAGAAAAAGGGTTTAATGCACTGTGCCACTGGGGGCTCCCTTATTTTGGCGATACAGTGTATTGACTCAGTCTACAGTTGACTCAACCCATTTTTCAAACCAAGCTGATGTGATTTGGGAGGAACATTAGTACTTGCTTTATTAAGAACAAACAAAGCATTATTGTTGATCATTGGAAAGCTTACCTCTCCATTGAAGAAGCAGAAAATTGTTGCCACAAGTAACCCCTGTGAAACAAAAGAAAATGTGTCCATGATTACCTTTGCCTATAATATGAAGAATTTAATTAATCTAACATTTGTTTCTCTATAGTTGGACAATGATAGAACATGAGGCCAAAACAATTCTTGCTGCTGCTTCCTAGCAACTCTTAGTCAGAAACATGCCCATTTAGTCCTTGAAAATAGCATTTAATCATCAAAATCCTCATCTGCATTCATTTGCTTAGCTCCCCTTTAAAGCTGTTCAAGCAGCCATCACTACATCTTGTTGCATGAATATCACAGTTAACTTGCATATCCTTCAACTGTCTCAATTTTCCAAGGACATTCATGATTAATCCTCTGCTGTCCCACTTTTTCAGCTGCTTTTAAAATGTAGCAGTTGTGACACCTTAAAAGATGGAAGTTTCTATTGTGGAAGAGTCATACATCAGTACTAATGACAAGAGAGATGTGTAATCTTGTCAGGGATGCCTGTCAACAAAGAGAGACTATAATTGTAGTTCAGTCCTCCCTCCCTTGACCTGATTGTGATTGTCTACTCCTTCTGACTGCTATGTTAAAGGAATGAGCTTGATGTCAATTGCCATCAAGTTGTTTTAAAATGTGCAATGATCATATGAATGAGACCTCTAAGTCACCCTGTTAATAACAACTTTTATCAGGACTTGTAAAATAATGATAATAATAATAATTGGAACACAATACACCAGACATCACGATTGAGGAAAAGAAAAAAGTTTGGATTATTGATGTCACCATACCAGGTGACAGCCGAATTGATGAAAAACAAGAGGAAAAACTCAGCTGTTATTAAGACCTCAAAATTGAACTGCAAAGGCTCTGGCACAAACCAGTACAGGTGATCCCAGTGGTCATCGGCACACCGAGTGCTGTGCCAAAAGACCTCAGTCGGCATTTGAAAACAATAAACATTGACAAAATCATGATCTGTCAGCTGCAAAAGACCACCTTACTTGGATCTGCGTGCATCATTTGAAAATACATCACACCGTCCTAGACGTTTGGAAAGTGTTCGAGTTGTGATTTTGTGATATGAAATCCAGCATATATATCTCGTTTATTGCGATATACTGTGTCAAAACCAACAGCAATAGAATGGTCAAGTTTCGACATGGGTGGGTGGCCTGGTGTCCAACAGATCAGAGGATAGGACAATGAATAAAGTGCATAGGGCATGTTTCCATGTTAAGGATAAGAGCAATAAATAAGGTCAACTCAATTTAGGATAAAACGGTAGTAAAGTGCATGGTTAAATTTTTGTGGTCCTACCTAAGGACAATTGTCAGAGGAAAAGTTTAATCAAATGCACAACGGAACATCTATGTCTTCAAATCAAAGCTGTGGCTTCGTTCATAATAATTGGAACACAATTAGCATTGTTTATCCATCTTTAATTTTCCCCTGCTGTCTTCTACCTTTTCCAGTTAATTATTTTCCAGTGAACCATGTCTTCTCATGATATGCCTAAAGTATGATAGTCTCAGTCCAGTCATTTTGGTTTCTAGCTTGATTTGCTGTTGGGCATGATTTGTGTTTGGCTCATTTATTTGTCTTTTTGAATGTCCATTTAATCTATAGAAGTTTTCTCCAACACCACATATCAAACAGGGCGATTTTCTCCTCATTGACTTTTTTCTCTGTCCAGCTCTCACCACCATAGATAAAAATAAGAAATGGGACTGATAATTCTGACAGTGATATTCAGTGATATATCTTCACATTTGAAGATCTTGCCAAGTTCCTTCATAGCTGCTCTTCCAAGTCCCAGTCTTCTAATTTCTTGACTGCAGCCTCTATTATCATTGAGCCAAGGTCTAGAAAATCTTTAACTATTTCAGTGTCTTCATTTCAACTTTAAAGCTATGCAGAATATCTATGGTCATCATTTTTCTTTTCTTTATATTCAACTGCAACCCTGCCTTTGTGCTTTTTTCAATAGTTGTTTCCAAGTCCTTCCTATTTTCAGCTAGTAGTAGAGTATCACTTGCATATCTTAATTTTTACTCCCTCCAATTTTCACATCTTCATCCTTTGTCTACTCCAGATTCATCTATTGGTCAGTTTGCAAATTAAACAGATAGGAGTGATCAAAGACCACCTTGCCAAATGGAAAACACCCAGTTTCTCTATATTTTGTACTGATATTGGTCTCTTGTCCTAAGTGCAAATTATGCACCAAGATGATCAAATGTTGTGGCACATTAATTTTTTAAGGAGCAACCTATAGTTTTTCATGATCTATCTCAGGGGTGGCTCATGTCCACTTTGGAGTATTTTATCCCCAAATGCCCTCTTGGCATTAAGTAGGTCATTGATACCACACTGAGGTCAGGGGTGGGGGTGCACTGAACAATTTCAAATTGGAGGATTTAGTGGGAGGGGAGTGCCTTTCTATTCCCTAAAATGACCTGGGGAGGGCTAAAACATGGAGTAAATACCCCTAAAAGTAGGGGAAGGCTTTGGGGTTGGCGACAAAATATTTTGGTTTTTTTGGTTGGAGGTTTCTGCAGACCCTTAGGTCTTCAAGGGGCTAATGTGGCCACCAGCCTCCCTAGTTGTCCATCTCAATCTAAACAACTGTGGCTATAGAACTCTCCCCCAGGTTTTAATCCATAAAGCTCTGGTTGGTCCCCCGTCCCCCCACTTCATTCAACATATGTAAAAGAACACAGAAATACACTATTTAATAATTAATTAAAATGTTTACACTTTGGTGTTTACTATGCAGCCTATCCATGTATAATTGAATGTAAGACCTACTATATTCAGCCGAACTTTTCTCCAGCTAAGACCGTAACCACAAAAACTGTAGTATCAAAGGAAGAGTTTTCTCATTTGTTTCCCTTCCTTGTTAATAAAGGCACTTTAGGTCACACAATGACTTTCCATTACTGCTCCCATTTCCCTAAATTCTTTTCTCATTTGCAATTTTATAGCCACATTGTCTTTTTTTTCTTTCCAGAGGTACAATTGAGCTTGTTTCTTGAAGGCAATGAGTTTGCTCAGATGCCCTTGAAATTAGATTTTAGTTAACCATTTTGTAGAGGACGTTGGTTGAGGTGAGAACAAAAAGAGCTTGGCATTAAAAGAAAAAGTCCCAAATCCAGAGAGTGATGTTATTTCTGCAAAAGAGAAAGTAGCAACTATAAATGGGGTAATAAAAAAAGGAATGACTGTAGGGCTTACCCTTGTAAGAGGGTGAAAAGAGGTCTCAGTTTATGGTCAGCTTTAAAAGAAAGTGAAATGAGATGGAACTGGGATATGGAAACAATCACAACAGCGACTTGACCCTGACACTACTGTTCCTCTTTAGTGGATAATTACACAGTTAAACTGAGATTTTGTGACTATCATTATTTATGGTGATATTGAGGATGGAAAGAATTGCCAGATGGCCCCAATGAGAAATAATCAGACAGTAACTATGGTTAATTGAGCACATTTTAAAGGACAAGAAACAGTTTTCACAGAGCCTCTGTCATAAAATGCTATGTTATGTTTGGACAAGGTGCAGTTTATAGCTAAAAAACACACTTAAATAGGTTTAGGGCCCCTTCACACCAAAATTACAGCACCATGATCCTACTGTAAAAGCTATTAGGAATGTGCAAAATTTTCAGAAGTATTGTAATTTCTAAGAAAATAGTTAAATCTTTACATCCGAAGTGATATCCGACACATGGATGTGGCCTGTGCCAAAAATTTTAGAATCAAAACCCCCGTATGCAATTACTATAATGAAAAAGTAACAAAATTTTGTTGCTTTCATTATAGGAACAAATGTTTCACTAACGATATTTTAGAAACACTTTAGAAGCAAAGCACCAGTGCCCCCCTATTTGTAATGATTTTTGAAACATTTTTATTGATCACACATGCCTAATAGCTATGATTCCAACCTACAAAATACTGGATTTGCAATTCAGGGAGGAGTTTTTAGGCTTCTCCCCAAAGAGCTCTAGTGCTTCACCAAACTACAAACCCCAGGATTGTATAGGTGATGCCATGCCAGTTAAAGTGGAGTGATAGTGCTATAACTGTAAAAAGGACATTCAGAGAGAGAACAAAAACTTCTCAATTCCAGGTTGTCTTTCTGTCTTGTCTGGAGATGTAAAAATTCTGGAAAATCTTAAACTAAAGCAGAAAAATGTTTCCTCTCCCATTTTTTCAGAATTGGTACTTTCCTTTCTCCTCAAATGGCATAAAATCACCATATTGGTGAATTAAAAGAACAGTTTAATCATACAATAATTATAAATTGAATTTCTTTATTTTTTTAAACAAATGGACCTACAAAGTCTTGAACTAAAGGAGTTCTTTTGTGTACTAAGAGCAGGTAAAGTATAAAACAACTGAGGAAAAATTCAAATTTGAGTCAAATGATTATTTTCTTTCATATTCTAGTTTCTCTAGTATTAAGCATACATAAATATTCACTCTCTTTGAAAGAACTGAGAAAACAAAGACCAGGATGACCAGTCACACATAAAAAATCTTTCTGATGCTTAGTTTTTAGAAATAATTTTATGGGAGTCAGTATATGGGCACTACAGCTTAAGCATCCTACTCATCATTCTAAAAATACTTCATAATCAATGTAATTCACCCCCTTTAATTATTCCAGCTTTTCTGAAAAGAAAAGAATTATTTAGCACATTTATACCACGTCCTTCTTGACCTCCGAGAAGGGACTCAGGACGGTTTCCAAACCGGCAACAATTTGATACCAACACAATATCAAACACATAATAAAATACAGCCATATACATTTAAATAATTATAAATATGCATTAAAACAATTCACCAGGTTAAAATCGTCATCCAAATTAGTCCAAAAAGCAGTCCAATAAAATCTTGTCTTTGCCAGTAAAACAGTCTGTTCTGCAAATGCTTGATCCCATAACCAGGATTTAAGTTGCTTCTGAAGGTCAGAAGGGGAAGGGCAGATCTAACCTCATTAGGGAATTTGGGGGAGAACGGTAGAACCATGGAAATTATAGAAAGGTTAATTGAATCCCAGTTTTGGAAGAGACTCCATGGACCACTGGGTCCAACTTCTGCTCAAATGTAGGTATTCAAGCTCAAGCATTCCTAGTAAGTAGTAGTCCAACGTCTCTAGGTAAGTGGTTCCATTGCTGAATTGCTCTTACTGTCAACATCTTAGATTCATTTCATCTTGTTGTATCCTCTTGAGTAACTCTTCTTTGTGATTGCCATTTAGATATTTAAAGTGAAATTATAGTTCTGCAGTTCTATAGTGTGAATGAGTCTCAGGAGCTGTGGGTCATAGTGACATGAAAACAATGGCAAACCATTGCTCAATAAATCTTGCCAAGAAAATCTATGTTAAGGTCGCCATAAGTCAGAATTGTCTTGGAGGCATATAACAACAAGGAAAGAAACAAAATCAATTTGTAACACAGCACAACAACAAAATCTTAGTGCCTTGGTTTTTAGACCTGTTACTGGAGTTATTTGAGGCACTGATTCAGAAAATTGCATTGGATAGACTGCATCAGCTCTAGTTTCTTAGGTATGGTTGTCATGATTTCCCACGGGTAAGCAGATGAAGACTGATATATGACATATATTATGTATTTCAAAACTAGAGCTAATAGGGGGAAACTGGTTCCATTTTTAGAATCAGCAGATCAAATATACCCAGAAACCGGACTAACATATGAGGCATCAAAATGTGTGTTGGCCAGTGTAATGTATCATCCCATATACTAATGATTTGTTAATGCTGAATCTAAAATAAAATAAGAAGCAGGTGGGTTGCAATAGTAGTTGTTTACTGTCCACAACAATCAGCCTTCCAAGTTGCCCAGTCTTCTGTATGCCCAAGAGGGAGTTTCTCATCCAGTATCAGCCACTGGTTGAGGTTATGGGTTTTTACCTACCACTTTTGGACTCTCACTTGCTGAGTTAGTATTGGAGCAGTAGGAAAAAAAAATACTCTATTAGAGAAGTAGAGAAAAAAGAGCCCTGCTTCGTTTTTACTGATCATTTTAAGCGACTCATTTACGACAATTTTAAACCATTTGTTGTAACAAAACCACCTCACAATAGTGAAGCATTTATGGGGTGAAGAAATAGTGAGACAGGGTTGTCATCACTGCTTTGGCTGAGTGTTCTACAAGAAACCCAGCAGGGAACACTTTATTGTGTTATGTTCCAGCTGTGAATGTTGCTTTCGGAAGAAAATGCCTACATTTATTTATCTCAAGTGGGAACAGGCAGCACTTTATACCTTCCTTACGGACTGTGGAGTGCATAAGGACAGCAAGTACCTTTAGACATATACACACAGCATTTCTGTGCAATGTATGCCAAATAGAATACCAAAAATTATGCAAACCATAAAGGGTTTTTTTTTTGTTGCAAAACCAACACTCATCAATGAGAAAAGACTATAAGCAGTACAACGAGAAAAGGAATTAAATGAACCATAGTTAAATGGACAGTAAATATAATTGCCTTTAAAATAATTTTAAGTTATAATAGTGGTCAATATTTTACCCAATACAATGTTAATTACAGCCAGTTTATGTACATTTAAGGTTCATTTTTACAAAAGTAAAGTGATCCTGGACTCATAGGTGAGCCTGGAACCCCAGGTCTCAGCTGTGGTCAGGGTAGCTTTTGCACAATTAAAACTTGTGCGCCAGCTGTGCCCATATCTTGGGAAGTCTGACTTGACCACGGTGGTCCACACTCTGGTTACATCCCAAATAGATTACTGCAACGCACTCTACGTGGGGTTACCTTTGAAGACTGCTCGGAAGCTTCAGTTAGTCCAACAGACAGCAGGCAGGTTGCTTTCCAGAGTGGGGTACAGGGAGCATACAACCCCCCTGTTCCACCAGCGCCATTGGCTGCCTGTCTGCTTCCAAGCACAATTCAAAGTACTGGCTTTAGCCTATAAAGCCCTAAATGGTTCAGGTCCAGTTTACCTGTCTGAACGTATCTCCCTCTATGAACCACCAAGGACGTTAAGATCATCGGGGGAGGCCCTGCTCTCGGTCCTACCTTTTTCACGGGCGCAACTAGTGGGGACAAGATACAGGGCCTTCTCCGTAGTAGCCCCTCGGCTGTGGAATGCCCCAATGAAATTAGATCTGTCCCCCCCTTCCCTCTTGGCCTTTAATAAAAAACCTGGCTGTGGGATCAAGCATTTTAGTAGTAAATGTCGCAACTAGGAAGATATTGTTTTTAAGTGATTGGCAATGGACTGACCTGGACCATGATTTGGAACTGGCGGATTGTTTTTAAGTTGCATGTTCATAATTGTTTAATTGCTGATTTAATTGTAATATTTTAATTGTATATTGTTGGCATCTAATAGTTGCCTGTTTTAAGCCATCCTGAATCCCCCTCCGGGGGTGAGAAGGACGGGGTATAAATGCTCAAAATACATAAATAAATGATTTAACATTAATTATTCAAGCATGAGAAAGTTTTATAAATCAATAATGTGGAGGAACATTAATGAATTTAACAATATTTAACAAAACAGTAATTTTACGTAATTTCAGGCAATATTTTTTCTACTTTACACACACACACAATGTCCATAAATATTTTACTAGAAAAATCTTTAAACACCCAAACTATTCTCCAGATTGGAAGAATTGGCCATAGTCCTGTAACAGTTGCCCATTGCTAAGGTAAACCATCTAGGATGTATGGGTTGATATCTCTTGGCCTGTTTGACATTCACATAAATGGTTAGGGGATAGAATAGACAGATCAACATGCTGCTAATGCGCTAGTTCTAAACTTAGTAGCCCTACTGAAATCAAGACAAAGAAAGGAAAAGGTAAGACCCACACAAGTTGAATCAGAAATCTGAAATTAAACTAGATGCTAAGGAGCATGTGTATTCCTTGAAATAAATAGTCATATGCCAGTGAACATAATTTTAAATTAGTTTTCTCTCTTTTTCACTAGTTTTACTTTTTTGTATTTTTCACTACATTGGAATTCAACTAGTAATATGCTGCCACATAAGATGCTGATTTTGCATGATTCTATTCCTTTTGGGAAGTATAAGTCTCACTCTCAGTGTGGTTTACTCTTATGTCAACTGCCCCCTATGCATTTTGCTCCTATTCAAGTGTGCTTACTGCTTAGCATTTCAGCTTAAGAACAGGAAATGAGACTTGGATATTTTAAGCATAGATCATCTATCTTGAAAATACCAACTAGCAAATCAATTAAGCTGGTGCAAAGCTGACTTACTCCCATTGATTTAAGTGGTACTAATCCATTAGTTGAAGTCAGCTGTGTTTCCTGGGAAAAGAGTCGCCTGCCAAAGGAAACGTACCCGCAAATACATCACCAAAAATCATAATCAGTGTTATAGACCCATACCTGGTAATGCATTAATATATGCATGATGTAATCATAGACTTCGCCAGCAAGTTTGTTTTCTGGTCTCCAGGGAATAATGACAAACTGAATTCCTAATAAGGGCACAAGGATTAAAGTGGCTCTGACAGCTTTCATGTACATGTTGGACTCAGCTCGATGGGTGTCTCTCAGTTTTGTTACCAAGACTCGTACAATGTTGAGCAAGAAGAAAAAATTGACCTGGAGGAAAAAAAAACCCATTATTATTGTAATTGATGCACCATTCATTCATTCATTCATTATCACATATAGTAGATTCAATAAATTCATATATATATATATATATATATATATATATATATATACACACACACACACACACACAGAATATATAGTTTTTCTTTTCTTTATGTAATGAGCATCATGAAGTCAAAACTTCATTACATTAAAGTGGCATAACGGTTATAACAATTTAAAAAAAAAAAATCAAACATGGAGCTGACTGAAAAACCCGAGGGATGTGTAGAGAAGATTGATGAGATAGATATGTGAAAATAGCAACAATAGGTCTGATGTTTGGAAAGGACCATACCATTGTAATGGTCTGATGCCTTGTGCATTGGAACCCCAAACCCATGGAAACTGTGATGTTGGGATATGAGAGATGTCATGAGAAGATTAGATATCAACAAATTTAGCTTTTCTCTCCCCGGTCCCCCATTTGATGGAGAAAGTTTGAGAAAAAATCTCTGAAAAAATAATCTAAGGCTGGCTTTAGCACCAGTACACCTCTTCTTTGTTGTGTACTAAACTCAATATCAATATACATTAACTCTGCAAAATACACTAATACATAAGCCAGATAGTAGAGGTGTGCACAGTATTTGTTTCTCCCGTTTCATTCGTTCTTCATTCCTTTTGTTTCAGGCCGGAGCACAAAACAAGAACACTCACCCCGAACGAAAATTTGCTTGAAACAAAAGTAAGCGGGAGCAAGTACGCTTTGTTGCGTGATTTTTGTGAGAAGAGTTTAATCTTTTTTTATTAATCCCCCAGCAAACAAAAAATAAATCCTCATTTACTCTCCTCTTCCAGGAGGCAATACAAAAATTGCCTCTTTTGTATTGTATCTTAAAAGAGAAGACCCGGGGGAATGGGCCGTTTTTGAGGGGAAGAATCAGGACTTAAAAGCCAAGTGCCACATATGTAACACTTCCCATTGAGGGATCTCGACACGATGGTGCCGGAGTGTATATCATCACTCTTCCTCCACAGCTCTTGGAGCTGTCACCTTGTGTCATTCATTGTTGCTGCTGCAGTGCTGCCTCTGTCTCTTATGCAAACAAGGTGCCTCCTCCAGCCCCCTCCTCTTCCTCCTTTGTGCCTCTTACACTAGAGTAAGCCAGGTAACAGCAGCAACAACAACCCAAGGTTCTGGTGGCAGCTCCAAGAGCCAAGCAACAGGAAGGAGGAGAGGGTAAAGAGGTGCAAAGGAGGAAGAGGAGGGGGGCTGGAGGAGGTACCTTCCTTGTATGAGAAACAGAGGAGAAGAGCGCACAACGCAGCAGCAAGCAAGGACCCAAGGCGGCTGCTCCAAGACAAACCATGTCATTGTCAAAACTGATGGGAAGGGGAGGGGAATTTTCCCCACCTCTTCCCATTGCCGCCAGTTAAAGAAGAAGTGAGTAGGGCTGGGCACTGGGCGTATGTGGAATATGTGGAGCATCATTCACCAGGAAGGAATGGTGCCCTTCCCACCTCCCTCCTGCTGCTGCTCCTGAAGAAGTTATAGGGTGGGGCCAGCGGGGGGGAAAAGGAATGTTTCTGAGATTTTATTATTATAAAGAAAAAATCCTAGAAATCAGAGGAGACCCAAACATTATAAAACTTGGTGGTCTAAGAATGGTAGATGTGCCCTCCATGTGCGCCAATTTTCATCCCTCTAGTCCTAAAACCGAGGGGAAGGGGAGCCTGAGAAGGCTGCCCATATTGGCCAATTGTCTGGAAATTTTTGTTATTTTGGGCCCAGAATGTAAAAGCTCATTCAGAAATGTGTCTGTTTTCAGGAGAGGCGCTTGAGAACAAAAATGGGGCATTACGAATTAAGCAAACAGAAACCAAAAGCAATTCTATTCAAACGAACAAGATTACCAGATAGTAAAGAGCAGAGTTTGAAACCAAACAATCATCATATATTTTTTCCACACAATGATTAAGATCATTTTCAAAAATATGGCTTATTTTGGAGTGGGACTATAGCATGTATCTTGGGGAAAAGGCTCTTAAAAATAGGAAAAAAAGATTTATGCATCATTCTCCATTTCTGGTCTTTATTATAAGGGAATTAGACTGTTGCAATAAATCTTGAAATGGTTGCAGTTCTGGAGAGGACAAAGAGCGTGCAAGGTATTCCCATCCAGAAGATGCAATTGAGTATGACATTAAAGACAGGAACTTGCTTTCATAAAGCATAGCACTGAAAATGATCATGTGTTGTTCTCATGCCAGATTAAAGGATTGATGCTGAAGGTCTCATGCAATGAGCAACTTTTTCCCAAACGAATTATTATCTTTAAAAGACATTAACTTCTGTTGAGCAATGGGAAATTTAATTTGTGAAGACAGGTTGAGCTACTTTTTGCTCATCAACAGAGCATTTGCTATTATAAAAAGACGATAGCTATGTCTGTGGACAAAGGTCACAATCTTTGTGGGTTGTTGGCTTATATATTTCTCATTTAAATGGCTGTGCGTATAAAACACCCAAAATCTACAGAAGGGAGCTGAAAGACAATTGTGTAGGTGTCAAGTGTGCTAGTCCCAAACTGATCATGACCAGATCTATTCCTGGTCATTATGACTCCTCAAGGGCTGCATCCACATATCAAAGTTATAGCAGTATGATACTCCATTGACTGCCAATGCTATGGAATTTTATGATTTGTAATTGTTTAAGATATTTATCGATCTTTGAGAGCTCTAATGGAACAACAAACTACAAATTCCTGGATTCTACAGGATGGAGCTATGGAAGTTAAAATGCTATAATTCTGCACTGTGGGTGTTCTCTTGAGATTGGTGTCTTCTACAAAGGAGAGCAGGCATCTCTATGGACAGCCATTCTAAAGTCATGGCATAATAGGTATTTATACTCCCATTAGCAACTATATAGATCTCATGTGTGTTAAACCCTTGTGCCTGCAGAACGGGGAGCGGGGTGAGCTCCCATCTGTCAGCTCCAGCTTCTCATGCGGGGACATGAGAGAAGCCTCCCACAAGATGGTAAAACATTTGGGCGTCCCCTGGGTAATATCATTGCAGACGGCCAGTTCTCTCACACTAGAAGCAACTTGCAGTTTCTGAAGTTGCTTCTGACACACACACACACACACACACACATCTCCTCTGCTGAATTTCTGCAATGTTAATGCTGAGCCATCTTTGCCAGCAATGGAGCATTCATCCAGATATTAGCATGATAAATGTACATCTCTTTTATCCAGCAGATAAAAATCCAGGAGCCTATTCATATTACAGAACCATGCATTTTAATTGCCATGGGTCCATCCTACGAAATCTGAGGATTGACAGTGATGATGAGATTTAGAATACTCAGCCAGAGAGCTCTTGTGCCTCACTAAACTACAAATCCAAGAATTCCACAGGATGAGCTATGACAGTTAACATGGTGCTAAAATTGTATGGTGTAGTGGTTTGAGCACTGGACTGCAGTTCTGGAGACTAGGGTTCAACCAGTGGAGTGACTTTAGTATGGGTATAATATGCTCACTCTTGGATGTTCCTGTAACCAATCTGGCTGCTGAGTTTTGAACTAATTGGAGCTTCTTAACTTGGTACAGAGGTAGCCCAATGTAAAGTGCACCGCAGAAGTTCAACCTTGAGATTACCAGCGTGTGCACTACTGTTTTTAGGTTCTCATATTCTAGGAAGCTAGCGTATTGGCCAAAGTTGGTAGTAAGCACTCTTGACCATCGCATCAACTTGGGCTGAATTTTGGAGCAACAGACCCAGGAGCATTACCAAGCTACGAACACAGTCTTTCAGGGGGAGTGTAACCCCATTGAATGCAAACTTTATATGCAAAGCAAACTGTATATGCACATCTCCACTTCAGATTATGACCCTTAATGGTGAGCACCTCTCTCTTGTCTGGATTCAGTTTCAATTTGTTTCTCCTCATCCAGCCCATTACCTCCTTCAGGCATTCATTCAAAGGAAACACAGTATCCTTAGACAAAGCTGTTTTGGAAGGTATGGACACATGATATTTGGGTGTCATCCGCGTACTGAGAGCACCCTGCCCCAAGCCTTTGGATGGTCTCTCCCATAAAACTTGAATGCAGTGTGTTTGTTCAACAATTCTGGACTTCCAGAAACACTGTACAAGCCCATGATAAAGCAGAACACCAAACTGTAATTTTATTCAGAAATAAAGATAAATGCTTCATTCATTCCAATAAACCAACCACCAAGGTTGAGTTGAAATAACTTTTTACCCATCTAGGAAATGACAACATTGCATCTGACAGTTCCATTTCAGGCAGATATGGATGAGTGTTCACAAAATTCAGGGTATTTGTCTATAGAGAATTCCTTGACTGTACCACTTCAGACTGCAGATGGAAGAATCAATTTGGGGGTGGTCCCTCATGTTAAAAGAAGAAGAAGAAAACACCCTTTATAAGGAAAAATTAACCCTATGATACGAACTCCCATTGTCAGTCATTCCTTTTGTCAGTCACATACCCATCCCTTTTTCCTACAGTAGATCTTCACTGTAGGAAAGACAGAGCAATCCTATGGTGGATGGAGAGGATATACAATGTATCACATCTCATGTTTTAATTTCCTCTTCCACTAATGCTAAGGTTGGCATAATTTTTAAGTTCTTTTGGAAGCAAATCAGAGGACCAAGGACATTTAAGATCCCAACTATTCATATCTTCAGATCACACTATGCCAGGAACCATAATTGCAAAGCCATAACGAGCAGTGCCACAACATAGAAATTTTCTGTGGAAACCCAGAGTTTAGAAAAGTAACTTGTTGAGACAATAGCTCGTAATAGCTCTCAACCAACACGGTGACCAAGCTACACTTATGGAGAGAGTACCTGTAGAGATGAAAGTACAGGAAGGAATAGGATGATACCTTAAGTAGGATTTGTGGATAGAGAATCTATATTAATATGATTGCTTCTCTTTCTCTCTTCCTATTATTTGTCTGTTTAACCATCTCTCTATCCAGTTATACATTTATCTTATTTTCTAATTCTGGTGGCCTACGGTGAATGCAGGGTTGGCATGACTGCTACCTGCTTGAACCATCAGTCACTGGTGATTCTTTATGTATATATATCTTTCTATTTATCTTGTCTCTCTGTTTGTCAGTTTGTCTGTCTGCCCTTATTTGTTGCCTTGGTTGTCATGCATAAAAACTAGAAAAAATATAGGCAATAAGACTGAATAAATAAATGGAGGAAGAAAAGAAACAGTAAAGCGCACTTAATCAAACAGCAAGTAATATTCTCACCAGTAAAGCTGCCATCACAGGCCCATGGACAACATATAGCAAGTGTGTATCGACACTAATCCAGCAGCTGGAAGAGGGAAAGAATGTATTAAAAGAATGACATTTTCAAAAACTTCAAGTAAAACTATATATAAGTAATCAGGAATGATACTCACTTGTCATTAAAGTATTTGGTTCTTGCCACAGCATGAATTGATGCTGGCACTAAAGGAAACCCTAGAACAGGTAATTATAGACATATCAGATTACATCTTATTTTTGAATGTATTTTATGCTACCTAGACTGAAGCCAATCTTTTGTAAAGCACAAATAAGTGCCAATGATAAAGAATTACCAGCCTTAAGCCATGTAAAGCGAGGACGCCATAAAATGCAGAACATTTCCAAAAGGTAGTGACCTCAGAAGAATTAATGCAGTTTGATATTACTTGATCTGCCATGGCTCAATGCTATGGAATCATAAAAGGTGTAGTCTTTAAAAAGATCTTTAGCCTTTCTCTGCCAAATAGTGCTCATATCTCATCAAACGATAAAGTCTAAGATTCCACAGCATTGACCCATGGCAGCTCAAGTAGAGTCAAACTGCCTTAATTCTACACAGTAGATTTTAGAGTAGTGGTTCCCAACCTTTTTTTTTTTTTTGACCAGGGACTACTTGAACAGGAACCACTTTGACCAAGGACTACTCTTCAACACTAGTACCAAAAGACTTACAAATCAGTTTTTGGTCAACTTTAGATATCGCTGTACTTTAGATGGGGTACTGATACAGAAAATTGCCATCCAGTAGTCACTATCTGCACACCCACAGAAAACCACATTTAATAATCTAGAGCTGATGTGGTAGTAGTAATCTTTGATGAGTAGTCAGCCTATCCCCTCCCGACATCCTCGTTGCCTTTCACGAGGCCAGTCGCTCTCATTGCTGCGTGGCTTCAAGGCAACAGTGTAGTAATGGTGAGGCCGCAGACCATATTTTCATCCTTGTGGACCACTGGTGGCCCATGGACCACAGGTTGGGAACCGCTATTTTAGAGGAACAGGAAGAACTGATCTGCCAGCTCAGTCAACAGCTTGGGGAAAAATACTTTTTTGGATTGCAAGTCCCAGAATCACACAGATGTTATGTTTCATGTAATGTTTTCAAGTCAGGTTCCAAAATTCTGGTATCCTCAAAGTATTAGGTATCCTCAAAATATTCTGGACATTTCTTATTGCTAACCACACAGGCTGAACTCTAGATCAAAATTCTAGAAGAATTCTCTAGCCCTGAATTTTTCTTCAATGAAATGAGATTCTCAGACAGTTCTTCCCCATAATCTACTATGGAATCTTTTTTTTTTTTACATAGAGATGCCAGAGTATTAAAACTTGGGCTCTTCTGTGTACAATCTTTACCACTGAGCTATCGTCTATCTCCACAGCTTTGCTTCATTTCTTATTTCCTTCACAAAGAAATGTTTTTCCTATTTGTCTATAAACTCTCTCAATGACAAGGTCATCTAGTGTCTGTCTGCTTATACTTATTGGATCTCCACCAACCACATAGTGAAGAATATGCCATTTCAATATTAGATGTATTAGTGCTGTCTGAAGCAGGTCATGGAACTGAAGATTGATGTGTGCCATTATTTTTAAAACAAAATACTGGCAGAAATCCCAGCTGAATGTAATTTTGTGCAGTAAAATCATTCCTTTCATTTAGGTAAGCTGCCTGAAGTGCCAAAATAAATAAAAATGAATGTCAGAGAAGAATTCTGTTCAAGTGACAGCTTACTGATCATATTCCAGAATAATTTCAATAACATTTGGTGTACAGGTGCAGCAAATACTTTTCTTGTGATTTATGTGCATTTCTTTTTAACTTGGTATTCACATTTTGAGTGTAACTGTCTTGCAAATTTGAGCTACTGTATTCTGTTATCATGTTCATAGCTATAGACTACTAAATACTTATGACTTGTTGTGTACTTTAGAACATTTAATCAAGATGGTTATAGCCATCAGTTGTTTCTAATACAAAAAAAATCCAGTTGATCATATTAACCTGTGCATATGCTTAACCATTTGCACACTAGAGTGATTGAGATTAAGAATATTTACATTTATATGGTTTGTTCTAACTATTGTTTGATCCTGGTTTGTTTTAATAATAATCAAAACAAACCAGAGTAATAGAGATTATTTCTAATATGGATCAGTACTTCTTGTTCACTTGGGGGAAAAAGAAGAGAGGCAAGTGTGAGACTCAAAGGCAGTTCATGGTGAATTTCTGCTATGTCAGTGCTTTATTATTTATTTATTTGTGGTATTTGTATATCGTCCTTCTCAACCCCAAAGGGGACTCAGGGTGGTTCACTGTGATTCCCAACCTGTGGGCCTCCAGGTGTTTTGGACTTCAGCTCCCACAGTTCCTAACAGCAGGTAAGCTGGCTGGAATTTCTGGGAGTTGAAGTCTAAAACACCTGGAGGCCCAAAGGTTGGGAACCACTGCACTATGCGAACCCACAGTGGAATATTATTGCCCAAATAGCTCTACCGTACTTTAATCTGTAGGTAAGGAGATCTGTGTTCTCCCACAAGGGCTTGAAATAACTGTACCTGAAAATTAAATTTATCAGAAGAACATTGATTTGAGAATGGATGATAGAATTGGTTAGATCCAGATTTACATCACAATCCAACTGGGCACACTTCCCAGAAGACAACTGCCCTATCAATATTTTAAACTGAAAATTTGCTTTTTATTAGAAAAACCTGAGCAGAGTTATTTCATTCTGTAATGAACTTTGGCAGCATAATGCCAAATGTATTGGCATTATGCTATAGTAATGTCTGACATATTATTAGTGTTTATGATATTGGAACACCATGTGAAAATCTTATAGAACGCTTCTTGCAGGCACTTCAAATATCAGCTACTGATAAGACAGATAACCCCTGCTTCTTATGAAGAGTAGTTTTATGACTATTGAATGCAAAATGTATATACAAGGCAAAGTGTATATGCAAACACAGCAATATCAAACCTTCACCATTGAAAGGAATGCTTTGTTTGCAAGAGAAGTATGGCAGAAGGATACAATTTTGCATTTTAATAGATCTGCTTGATAAAATGCAGATAGTTCTTTGGTTCGTTTCCTGATTAGCTTTCTCAGATACTGATTCATGTTAAATTCATGAGGTTGGCACTCATCACAATTATGTGTTAGACTCAAGATTAAGTCAGTTATAATCTCAAGGGATTAAAGTGAAGTATCCTGGTGTTAACATGTAAAAAATGAGTGGAAAGGCTTCATTTGGCCATAGTGCAAATTGGCTCAATTAATGAGATGCACAATCCATCAATGATTTCTCTATTGGTGTGTGTGTTTATAGCCTGACTGGCAGCTTAGCTGGGAAGACAACAATATGCCCCTAAGCAGCCGGGCGAGCATTACTATGCTATGGCTGCTAAGGTACAACAAAATGCCAGTATTTCTCATGGTTCGGAACAGATGTGAGATCTTTTCAGAAGCATCTACATTTCTCGCAAACCAACTTCTAAAAAGAAACATACTGGCCAAAATTCTAAGGGTTCTTGCAGAATCATTTACATCAAGCATTAAAAATATCTCATCCTTTCAAAATGGCTCCACCGTGGTTTTTTCAGGAATGACCAAGAAAAAATGATGGAACCCAACTCTAAGAAATCCTTACGATTGTGTGCAGTGACTGGGAAGTCTTGTAATGAAAGAAGGAAAAAGCTCTTCATTCCTGTTTTAAAATACAGCTGATATTTTTTAAAGTGCAAAATAGAAATACCAAGCTTTAAGATCCCACATGGAACTGGCCTAATAATTGATTTGTTTTGTCAAATGGAACGCTTTCAAGATCCTAGCAACTGGGGATGATAACCATTTCAAAGCATTAACCAGAGGCTTTGGGGGAAATGAATGGGGAAAACACACATACCCCAACCCAAGAGGTAATACCAGTGCAAACGTTGCTCTTCAGCAAAAACTGCCACCACTATGAGAGTATGAAGATAAATGCCTTCACAAAGCATCCAGAAGTAGTTACAGCCCATCATGTATTGGTGGAAAAACTGAAGCACTTTGCAGCTCACCTGTCAGACAAATGGAAAACATTAAACTATAGATGGACTTTGGACAGATAATAGTGTTCCTACTGTAGGTAAACAACCAACCAAATATATCATTGCTCAGTTCCAAAGGATTCCCCCCTTTCGTTGGAATCTTTCAGATCCTATCACCGACAGTGAAGGACTAATAAATCAGACACACAGAATAACTTTTCCTTTTAAACCACTAGACATCAAGTGCAGAGAGCCAAAATTCCACAAGCTAAGATCAGCAACACACACTTCAGAATATTTTTCCAGTTTGGTGGGCTGCAGAAATAAGAAATCAGTAGACCTGAACTTCAACTATATCTTGGAAGGATACTAGCTGAAGCCTCCGTAAGGTCACACTAACCTTTTCTTGGTCCTTTTCAATATAATAATAAGCATTAAAGTGGTGTTCTATTTCGATACCCAGAATACATTTCTAGAGTTATGTAAGGTTATTTCACCAAAAATTACTGGTGACCGAGTGTTGTATGGCATGGCAATTGCAGGATTCTTTTAAAAATATGAAGTAAGGAGACTTAAGGAGAGTAATCACAATTTCCATATTAACAAATCTATCTAACTTGTGTTTTTTTAATCATATACACAACATGTGGGAGCATAGAACAGCATTTTAATCCAGTTTCTCATGCCAGACTATTTGTTCACCTCATTTCCACATTTATATTGCTATGGTTCACTTTAACTAGCATGAAAACATCCTATAGAATGCTGGGATTTGTAGTTTGGAAAGACATTGGAGCTCATATTTAGGATAAGGTTTCAAAATGTCCTTAGGCACACAGAATGAACTGGCTCTTTGAAATAAAATGTTAAACAATATAGATCTCTGGCTTAGCATAGTACAGGTTGAGTATCCCTTATCTGAGGGCCTTTCCACATAGCCCCATATACCAGAATATCGAGGCAGAAAATCCCACGTTATCTGAGTGTGGACTCAGATAACCTAGTTCAAAGGCAGATATTGTGGGATTTTCTGTCTTGATATTCTGGGATATAGGGTGTGTGGAAGGGCCCTGAGAAGTTTGAAACCAAAAGTGTCTGGATTTAGCATTCCCCACCCCCCACCCCAATTTTGAAATATTTGTATTTACATTTTTTTCTTATGCCAGGTTAATCTTCACACCTGACCACAACACATCCCAAAGTATAGTCCCACAAAGTCTCATGAACAGGAGATCCAGCAAGTCTCTGCTTCTTCCCAGTGGTTCTCAACCTGTGGATCCCCAGATGTTTTGGCCTTCAATTCCCAGAAATCTTAACAGCTGGTAAACTGGATGGGGTTTCTGGGAGTTGTAGACCAAAACACCTGGGGACTCACAGGTTGAGAATCACTGCTCTACACAATAAATAAGTGCTGGATGACGCGAAGGAGACCTGCTCAGCTTCTAACCATGGTGCAAGGAGTGTGACATTTCTGTCAACTTCCTGTGAGGAAGCTGTGACACCAGAAGCAGGACCTCAGTTGCAACCTGGTTCATGGGCAGAAGGGAGATGAAAACATCCTTCTTGCCCCCCAATTGGAAGCAGAATAGAAATACTTTGGCCCATTTAAAGGTTACTCTTAAGGTGGGCTGGATAGTGGTCAGTCTTGGAGATGTTACTTAGTTACACAAACTTAACTTAAGTAGCTCATTTAGGATTCTGGTGGTGGTCTATAGAGGAAACATCTAATTAGGGACCCAAATATTAATTTAATGTATTGGTGTATGCATATCAGTATGTGGGGCCAGACAATAAGGAAGAGTTTGTATATTTCCTTCACCACTGAATATCCACAACCAGCCTGTATACATTTTGGGATACCCTATGTCTGAAGTGATGACTTTGGAACAATTCTGAACCTCAGATGCTTTCTTTTACAAATTAAAATGGAAAACAACATGTAAGAAGAAGACAAAAATCCAGATGTCCCTTACAGGGTTGCAAACATCATCATTAAGGCACCTAAATCTTCTTCAAGCATTGGGTCAATATGTTCTACAGCGTGTTCCTTGTGTGCTGAATAAACCTCTCAGCTGGTACCCAAGTTCAACACTTTTCTATTCTTATTGATCCCATGGCCTGTTGAGCATTGCTGTGATTGACAGATCTGGCACATTGTACATTTCCAACCAAAGCATGCCTGTATCTTTTCTTAAAACCCCCACCTGTCAATAAACAGATACCGTGAACGCAATATTGACTTTCATTTGAAAACTGCTTGTGCATGATTGACAGCAGATTGCTCCAGAAAAACGTCAGAAGAAAGGCATTCAAATCTTAAAGGAATACATCTGTCATCTGTGAGTGGCATATTACATGAGTCGCTCAAACTGCATTTATTCATTCCATGAACCTATTGACTAGGGACGGATATGTTTATCAGTCAAATGTATGTGGCTTTTTTCCCCCTTGTGGTGCATACTGTGTAACAATAGATAGGGCATGCCTATACTCTGTCCTTTGCTACTAATACTGTCATAGTGTAGACCAGATGGCTCAAAGCTAGGATATGGCAGGATACCAACTAGAAACATGCAGCAGGTCTTAGCTTCAGCCTGGAAAATGGCTCATCAAAGGTCTGAGCAAGTTCTTGGACTGAATTTCTCAGAACCCCACAGCCAGCAATTGATGTTTCTGGCATACAGGATACCAAAGTTGGTTTCAGAATTGGCCATCTGATATAAACATTGTTGATATAATATATATTGTGCATTCTTATGGTTTATGGTGCAGCTGTGTCTAGTGCATTAGAAAAATATTTTACTTTTTTTCTAAAAGTACACTGGTACTTTTAATTGGATACTTGTGATTTACAACTTGACTGATTAGTTTAATTGAGTCCTGTGTCGGCAATAGCATGATAGCTGGGACCCTACGCTATGCTGGTTGCGCAACACAGATCTGAATTAGGGAAACACGTGCATGAGTGAGCACACCGAGTGAGAGACGCAGCTGCGGCAGAGTCGTTGCAATGGAAGGAAGGATAAAAAGGAGGGGGGAAAATATGACCAATCTTTTGGCAGAGATAGCTCATTTCTACCTTGTTTGAGGTCTTTGTAAGCCGCTGTTTATCATTTAACATTAAATAATTGTTACATTACTACACTCTTCTCCTATTGCACGTGAAATTACTTCACTGCTGTCCTCTCCCAGCTGTGTCTCTCACTTGCTTGCTCACTCGTGCACGTGTTCCCTTCATGAATTCAGATCCGCGTTGCGCAACTAGCATAGGGTCCCAGCTGTCATACTATTGCCCCTGTGTTTTCCTACTATTGGTTAGAAGGCTGGTACTCCAAGTTTGGTAAGATAATTGTTCCCCATTAATTATTTAGTGTCAAATGACTTGTTATTTTAATCACATCATGAAGTATGGTGATATCGATTGGGTTCTTGGTATCCACTTGGGTTTGGTTCAGGGACACCCAGTTGATACCAACATTCATGAATGCTCAGGTCTAATTATATGCAATGGTATAGTAAAATGGTGTTCCTTATATAAAATGGCAAAATCCATGTTTGCTTTTTTTTTAAAAAAAAAAAAACATCTGAAGCTTGGATGGTGGAATCCATGAATGCAAAATCCATGGGCATGGAAGACCAACTATGTTCTATAGAGTTTTAGTCTGAACTTTAAACTTTAGTCTGGACTAGAATTTGACTTCTGAGTTTGGTATGGATTTTGAAGGTGCTACTCCAAGGAAATATTTTTGAGAGCAAAAAGTTCAATATATCCTACAAAAGAGCTCATTTGTTTGGGGCTAAAATAACACTTTCCATAAGAGTGCAGGGTGTTGACTTTTGCCTCCTGTCAATTTTTATAGTGTGATGATCTTATAGATTAGAAGCATCTGGAACACCTGGTTTTTATTTGTTGTTCATTCGTTCAGTCGTCTCCGACTCTTCGTGACCTCATGGACCGGTTTTTATTACATTTCCCATATTACATTCCTTGCATGTTATCTATATTCCTAGTCATATATAGCAATCACTTGTTTTCTGATTTAAATTCTGCAGCCATCTCCTGAGTTGATTCCTATGCATTTACTTCAATTTATGGCTTTTTAAGAAACTAAAGTCTCTTGATGCGTAATAAATAGGTCGAGGAAAGCTATTAGACAACACATGAAGGATGGGCCTTGTAAGTGCCTGAAATCACATCTCGTAAATCTGAAAATGTGTTAGAAAATTCATGAATAGTTCAAATTTAGTAATTTATCAAGATGAAACATATTTGCTCCCTTGCAAATATGTGTAGTTTTTCATGTAATCGAAAACATTTCAAAGCTCTGCATTATATAGAAGTCTCAGTGGTGGCTGGTGGTTCCCATGTTAGTGATGAATCCACTCTTAGGGCCCTTCCACACAACCCTATATCCCGGAATATCAAGAGTGTGAACTCAGATAACCCAGTTCAAAGCAGATATTGTGGGATTTTCTGCCTTGATACTCTGGGTTATAGAGCTGTGTGGAAGGGCCTTCAATTTTAGTCTGCTACCCAAAGTGCTGAACTCTATCCCCTAAATTGATTTAGATTGGTTTTAGGATGACATCCTACATATGTTTTGTACTCCAACTCTCACTAGCCCCAGTTAACATAATGGTATGTGGTGAGGAGCATTTTATTCTCAAATAACTGGAAAATAACAGGTAGAGGGAATACTGGAAATGAAAGGGGGGAAATCCTCAGATGTTCACTTAATTTTCTTTTGTCTCTCCACAGATGTTGTCACAATACAGTTTTTCCTCCCAGAAGTAACTGTTTGATATTCATGGGATCACAGATTAGCTTTGACTCACTGAAAACTTGATTCATGTGGGAGGCTTTGATCTGAAATCATAGATGAAGTGGCTGTCTTATTATTATTTTTTAAGGGCACATCTTACACCACATTCAGCACTTTGTTTACTCCTGGGTCAAATGTTTCATTTTTTTCTACTTATCAAAGAACCGAGTAACAGCTGACTGATGTTCTCCTAAATGTCAAAAAAGA